GGCTACAATGAGGCTAAAAACAGAGTTCAAATGACGTTTTTCCAAGCAACTTTTTGTGTCGGGGCTTCAGGAAACTTGGATCACTATGGACGAGCAGTATGGAGATTTTGGGCTCTAGTTTCGCAGACCGGGCGCGGCGGAGGCGCAGCGCACCTGCGCTTCGCCAACTGGGTGTGGCCAGGCGCATTTTGTAAGTTTGGCACACCGTGCGCCTAGCGCAGCTACTCCTCTATCCCACTTCCGTCCCTCCTACCTACGCAAGTCAGAAAGAGGGAGGAGAGAAGGCGTGGCGTGGGTTTTACACACATCACACCAATCAAATGAGCCCCTCTCCTCGCCCATAAATGTGCCGCACGAAGGCGTAATGAGAGTTTACTCAATTCGCCATGGCAGAAGAGAGCAGCAGCGTCAGACAGCCAAACTTCTCCCAGGAGGAAACTGATGTTTTGGTCCGGGAGGTCTGCTCGCAGTGTCCGAATATACGGAACTGCGAGCAGACCTCCACGGGCTGATGATGCAAAGGTAGCCTGGGAGGAGGTCACCACAATTGTAAATCAATGTTCTGTTTCTCTCGTGCGTGCACGCGCTCTCTCTCTTTCTCTCGCACTCTCACTCTGTTTCTTTTCTTTTGACTTTTCTAAGATGACAGATTCTGAACATATAATCTGATGCTGTGGCTGTTCGTGGTTGGCTGAGAGGGATGTGAACTCATTAGTTTGCACCTGTGTTAATCAAATCAGGTTGGGTTTCCATTACGCGTGCCAAACATGCCAAACGGTGCCAATCCCCTTTGATCTGACATCAGATGTGACGGGACAGTTGATATAAAGATACATTTATGTGCTGATTTAAGCAGGCTATGTCGTGGCAGGCCGAGTGTCCTCGTTTTTTGGAAAATCAAAATATGGTCACTGTAAGATATGGACTGGAATGAAACAACTCCACAGTCTGCACCGACTCCGTAAGTTTATAAAAATAAAGTAAAAAAAAAAAAGACTGGTGATATTCTATTGTTTTCTAATTGTCAACAAACCAGAATGAAAAGAACCAAACCAAAAGTGTGTTCCTGTTCATCTCTCTCAATACCTGTCAAATCCCTCAGCCGGCGTATGACACTCAACGTCGAACCCATTTGTTCCTGCTGGAGAGCAGCTGTGCACCGTAGTTTGTTTCACCAACCTTAGTGAAACAAGAGTAAATATTGCATTCGTTATGGATAATTTTCGGCTGCAAATTGGGTGTAGTAGTGAGTAAGATTAAATTATAAAACTGAACTGCAAATCTGCAAAATCTATTCACTGTATTTTATTTTCAGTTCTGATGTTTTACTCTTTGTTTTAAATAGTTTAATTGTATATTAACTGACATTTCTTTCTTTTATACTCCCATTATGTTTTGTTACCACATTTGTTCAGTATGTTGCATGTTGTTATGATGCTTTGATGTTGTAGACAACCTGAGCTCAGTGACAACAGGCATTTAGTGAGATGACTGCATATTTAATACACCTACCTTCTGCCACTGTATTATTTACATCAGTTGCTGCCACTGAGGATTAAGGTGCTGTGAAAAACAAACAAACAAAAATGAGGGAAAACAATGATTCAGAACACTGTGCAATATTGTTCTTAGACGTTATGCATTCGTCTGTTGTCTCATATACATCTTTCTTTAAACCTCAAAGAAGAGCTGCAACTTGATTATTTTTATTTGTGATTAATCTGTCTGAGCAGGCAAAGGCAGCACTAAAACACAAGGACATCGTTGGCCGAGTGCAGCAGGGGAGGAGTGGTCTTGGTCTTGGGGACAGCACACCAGCCTGGAACAAGGCCACTCCGTCCCAGAGACGCAAGCTCGTGGTTCAGGAGGTGCGTCGGGAAGAGGAAGCAGGAAGGTGCGCAAACGCTGTGGCGCAGGCAAAGCAAGGGCAGTGGATGACGTGGGAAGGAGTGGAGAAGAGATCTCCTGGCAAGAGCTGTGGGAAATGGAGGCATACAGGGCAAGCTTTAACATCAGGACTGCCTATGATGTCCTTCCATCTCCCAAAAACCTCAGCCGGTTGTATGGTGAAGACCCCACATGCCCATTCTGTCCAAGTCCAGCAACACTTAAGCACATCTTGGTGGGCTGCAAGACCAGCCTCACCCAAGGCCGTTACACCTGGCGGCACAACCAGGTGTTAAAGTGTTAAAGTTACTGTCGGTTACTATACGTAACAGTATCGACAAGGAAAGTGAAGACCCCCAGATCCTCTCTCATTTGCTATATTTGCATTTTTTTTCTGTGGTGTGTCCACAATTTTCTTGCTGCTTCTTGGATATGTGTTACTTACAGTCTGGCACCTGGTTGCTACCTTTTAATGAAGTCCAGACGGCACCTCAGGGCTGTGCCAATGAACCTCGCATACATGTATGTACATGTACATGTAAGAAGAAAAGAAGAAAATACAGACAGGAGGACAGATCTTGTTTCTGGTTGTTATTTATTTTGGAGGTTTTTTTGTTGTTATCATTGATGTTACTGTTCTGATCTTTATTTAAAAAATGACATGCCTCTTAATTTTTTGCTGCTGTATCGAAAATGGTATCGAGTATTGAATATTTTCCTGGGTATCAATATCGAGTTTGAAATTTTAGTATCGTGACAACCCTACCGGGTGGACCTCTTAAACCGGACCGAACTGGTTAAACCGGAAATCAGCACAAGCCTAACTGGGTGAAGCTCTTAAACCAGACCAAGGCTATAAGAGAAGGCTGAGACACGGGGTCAAACATGGGGGGATTGCACATGCGCAGTAACATCTGGTCTGCACTTGCTCACTGTCACCCTACAGAATCGCAGCTCAAGTTACATTGCGCTTGTGCAATCCCCCATGTTTGACCCCGTGTCTCAGCCTTCTCTTGAATAGCCTTGAACCAGACCGAACAGATTAAACCGGAAATCGGCACAAGCCTAACCGCCACTACCTTTATTACTTTTGTACGTTTCTATACATTGTTAATGTTTTTTTATGATTTTGTTTTCCATTTAGGAAAATCCTGCATAGTATACCTTTAAAAGACAACTTAAAAAAAAATCAGTGAAAACACTTACATGAAGGAATGTGTCAATCATAAAGAGATAGTAAACGCACTAGCAGAAATAATTACATGGCACATAATGAGCTTCTGATGCAAAACTTTGATCCATCATAATGGAAAGCACAATCCTCATACATGTATCACAGCAGCTATATAACGGGTGGGTCCCAGATATAATTTGATTTACTGAGCAGATTAATCTGTACAGGGTTGCAGTGCTTTCAAAATACAGTGAAGTAAAAGAATTACGTAGAATAACTTGGAAATACTCAAGTAGAAATACCTTAAGTACAGTAGCTTAACATGGGTGTGTGTGTGTGTGTGTGTGTGTGTGTCTCGTTAAACGTCGTCTTTGCTGTTTCTTATATTCTAGTTTCTGTTTTAATAAACTGTCTTGTCAAAGCACTTTAGCAACTTCAGCTAGCAACCTGTTGTTCACATACTGACGTTAGAAAAGTGTTAGTTACTGTAACGTTAGCTTAACTTAGTTAACGGTTTTTACACATTAAAGGAGCTCAACAGGAAGTTAAAACCATGAAAGTTAAAGTAAGTTTTACAAACCGTTTAAAACAGCTCGTAGCTTCAGCTGTCAGAGATAAAGTCCGTCCAGTTGTTATGACAGCGGTAAATCATGTCTGGTTGAGTTGACAGGACTTGAGGTCGAAGTGTCTCCCGAGTTCCGCCCGTTGGAGAGCCGTTTCCCGTGGTGTCCTCCTACCCTTTTCCACCAAAGCAGTTCCAGTGCTGGTTCGGGGCCAGTGCTTAATTTCGACCGACAAAAGAACTGGCTCTAGGCCAAAAAAAACTGGTTCCAGAGTGGCACCAGTTCTTTGCTGGACTACAAAGACGGGTATGGCTGCAGCCTGAAGCCTCTCGTCTCATGACAGAATCTGTATAAGAAGTGAGGTGCCGTAACTCGCCACACCAGCAGGTGGCGACATTATCTACATGAGGTCACTGTACCAAGTGGTCTCTAAGGAAGAGCCCATCTACCATTGGCATCCTTAACAATGACAACTGGACACAGGGACGGAAGTTAGCCGCTGTTTGTCCGTTTCCAGAGAGCATGGGGAATGTATGAGCACATATTTCTTTTTATGTTTAGCATTTGAAATAAAAATGGATCATTTGTAAGGATAATATTATCGAGGTGCTAATTTTCAGTAGCGCATTAATTGTAAATCCCATTATGTGTTAGCTTCTAGCTAATGGACTCATTTGACACAGGGTTGCAGTGGTGAAAAAGTACTTAGAGCTCTTACTTAGGTAAAACTACAAAAGAAACGAAAAGTTTCAGTACTCATCATGCAGGACGGTTGATTTCAGACCAAATAAAACTACTGATGCATATGTTGCTTTAATGTTTAATGTTGAAGCTGGTAAATACGGGGCTTGTTTTGCAGGTAGCACTCAAGTCTTATGTTTATCCATCATAACTTATTTGTTAATTTTATTTTTTTAGATTCGGACTCTCATAGAAACTCATAGTAATAAGCTTTATTATAATGGGCTTTATTTATATAGCACCTTTCATACAAGACATGCCCAACCTGATGAAGAAGAGAGCATGAAAACATTTGATGAATGAAGCACTGGAATTAATGTACTAATGTACTGGAGAACCAGTAAGCATTACTAAGTTGAAATAAGTATCCAGTAAGATCTGTGAGCATCAGTTCTCACTCAGACATTTTAACCCAAAAAACACATTCTTCTTTTAATCTGTGATATTTATTTATATAAGTGTGTTTTACTGACACGTGTATGTTTTTGCCGTGCTGCAAATTTCCCACTTGGGACAACTAATCTACATGACAGAAGCACAAAGCGTCAAGAATAATAATCCTAACACATATTTACTTTACACCACTAATCTTGTCTCATGTATCGAACATTTGACTCAAAAGCAAAGACCCGCACTTAATAATCAGAGGAATTTATTTTAAAATAGAAAACATTGTGAATCACCCTCCTCCAGTAAAAACTTAACAGCCATCATTGTTACAATCTGGTGAATTAAGAGCACACAGTACATTCATATAAAAGACAGATGCATTTGTATACAGCATCTTTCAACATCAAGGCCATGCAAAGTGCTTTATGCAAGACATAAAAATAATTTGAGAAAATACATACAGTAAATATAAAAATACATACAAATGGGATTTTAAGAAATAATTAAATGAAACTGAACAGGATAAACCTAGGAATAAAAAAATACACAAAATACTGTATGTGCTTTATTCTGAACAATAATCAAAGATTTGTCTCTTTGAATCTTAAAAAATGTGAGGGGAGTAAGTAAATACTGTGGGCCTGTAAGCTCCTCCACACTTCACTCATGTTTACATCCTGCTTTAATAAAGTGTTCGACCAGCTTCTGGTTCAAATGTCTACACCATCAGATGGTCTGTGAACCATCGTCGTAGTTTTTTTTTTTTTTATAAATACATTTGTTCCATTTTTACATGTAACATGAAAGAGTGCTATGTTTTTGTACTTCTTAAACATCATCAGAGCAAAAGAAGATCTCTTTACCCCCCTTACTCCTTTAATTCTGTAAAGTGGTTAATAGATTTCTTTTCACTCACTGTGCTGATGGAAAAAAAATAAATGAGCCACCTGATCTGTTGCTATGAGGATTTTCATCCTTAAAAATATTTACAATTATTTTATACTTCTTGTGTATGAGTATGTATATACATGTGCATGTAAGGGTGTGTGTATGGGCATACAGATTTAAATGAAGGTATATATAGGGTGGGCGTATAGAGTATTTAGATATTTATGCGGGTACGTATATAAGGTTGACACACAGAGTATTGTAATGAATTTATGTGTATGTATATATGTGCTTATTATCTGACTCATGGATAGGATGATATAAGATTAAAACGGGGTGGCGGTAGAGGGGTAGGATTAAATAAGTTTTACTTCTTCCTACTCCTTTTTGAACATGTAAATGGTACTGACAGATCTAAGCTATTCGGTTTCCTTTTATTTTTCCTTTTGTCTTGTTTTGTTGTTGGGTTCTTTTTTATTTTTTCTATTTTTAACTCTTTATATGTTCAAAATAAAGCAATCAATCAATCTTTTAAAAACTTTGGAAAAATCAGTTTGACTGAAAAGAATAAAAAACTCATGTTTCCTCTTGTGCTCCTCGATTCTAGAGATCCTTACATTACTGAAGAAATCACTGTTGCTGCAGAGATTAATACAGCCTCACTTCTGCGACAGGTTTATCATGATGCCAATTTTGGTTTGTGTCATAATTTATCAGTTCAAGGTGAGAATGAATTCCAGTCAGCATGTATTAAATGTTGTGTAGAGTCAGACAGATGTGTCTCTGCTCACTTTCTGGATCAGTGCAGACGGATGTTCATCCACGGAGTTTCTCTGAAGAAAGGAAATTTAACAATCATTGACATCAGCTCATAATCAGTTGCTTTACATAAAATATAATTCAAGTCTTTCCTTGTAAAAAAAATTGAAGTCTACAGTCATGCTAGAGACTCTGTGAAGCTGTATGTTGACATGATACTGAATGTCATCAGTTTTGCAGCAATCTCAGAACCCATTGACTTTCGGTCTAATAACGATAAGTGTTTGAGGGCAAGGGCAAATATATCAGGCTGATACGGTGTAGCTGAGCCAAGACTTCCTCTTCCGTGCACAGACAAACATACTGTACCTGCATATGAATGCAGATAAATGTTAAAAAAGCTAATATAAAGCTAACTTGTCATCAGATTCTAGCCAATGGGTTCTGAGATTGCATTTCAGCCAGTGTGTTCCACGTCTCCTCATGGACCTGCCATTCAAGCACGACTGGTCAATACTACTCAGACTACAAACTGAAACCAGAACACTTCCATGGTTTGCCAAATACCTGCAAAACTAATCTGTTTTAACAGAGACTCTGACCCATGGACACTGTCTATATGTGTTACATTAACGCACATCTTGGACTATTATCGCTGCACATTGCACATATTTGCTCTACTGTGGACCTTTACAAATCTCCTGACTAATATTTTTGCACATCTTGCACAAAACTGTGCAGCCTTCTTATTCTGAAACAGCTATATTTTACATATTTGTTGTTTCAGTATTTAAAAAAAAAAATCTTATTTCTATGTCATTAAAATTATTTGTCATATTTTTATTAGAACTTTTCTATTCTAAATTAATATTCTTGTGTGCTGCAATACTTTGCCTTCTTTTTATTTCTTTTATTATATGGTTAATATACGCGAACGGACTTGGGAATAAATCTGATTCTGATTAGTTTTGCAGGTATTTGTCAGACTCCCGGGAGCACTGCTCAGCCCTGTTTCCAATTTTGCCCAGTGGCTCCTTGTGGTAATTCAGAAAAAAAGAAAAAAAACAACCAAGGTCGATTATGACTCTTCTCTATGATGAATTTATAATCATGGAGGTTTTTCATGTTTGTAAAACTTCCCCCGAGCTTGAGCTGTTTAAAAAAATCTGTGACATCATCTTATTGTAAAGTCTATGAGCCGAGCAGGAGCTCGCGGGAAGAGCCAGCAGGAGAAACACTACTGCTTGTATTCAGTGGACCATATATCCTGGAAGTAAACCTGGAAGCTAGAATGCACCAGGCAAGCAATTCCCATTCAGGCCTCTAGGAAAGGTGCTTGGCTTTTATACCAATTTAAGTAGCAGCCAAACAGTGAAATTACAACGTACAGGTCCGTCACGTGATGCCATTGGGCCCAAAAAGGCTTTTCCCCATTAACTTACATTGGGAAAGCACATCTGTAAATCAGTGGGTACATTTTTTTTTAGCATCACAGCATCCATGAAATGACTCATTTTAGTATCAGGCTTTAATCCATTCGGTCTGATAACATTTGGAAAGTGCTAATAAAACATTTAAAGTTCTCACATTGACTCATGCAGTGAAGAAAATGACTTTAAAGCCACAGTATGATGTTTATGTAACATGTTATCATGGTTTGGGCACATACCTCCCTCTGTGGTGTTCACACCAGATGCTCAAGCTGATGATCCTGCAGCTGCAACACATTTAATGAAAATTAAATTAGGGTAAAAGCAACCATGTTTGCTTTGTTTCTAATAAACCACAACATGTAGGCACACAGGTAAAGGCCTTTTCAGACATGGAAGATGAATCATTGCTGCCTTCATCAACAGTATCTGTTAGAGGGATAGTTTGGATTTTTGAGGTGGGGCTGTATGAGGTACTGATCCACTGTCAGTGTATTACAAACAGTCAATGGCAGTCGACGCCCCCAGTTTGGAGAATCAGCCAAGAACACGTCACTATTTGTATATATTTTTTTGTATATATTTTTCTACTATTGTTCATCTCGTTGTGCTTTGGTACACAAGTATGACTGTACAATGACAATAAAGATTTATATTCTGACTCCCTAGCACTTTTCCCCGCCCCCAATGAAATTTGATCTTTGCAGCAGCAGCAGACAGCAGCTTCTGAGACAAACTAAACAAAACACTTGTAGGCTCCTCCACAAACATAAACCTTATTAAGTTGTCATAATGCATTTTACAATGCAAGATAAGTTGAATATAGTCCCTTGCCACGCCGCTGATGTGAAAAGCCCCCCCCCCCCACCCGTTTGTCCGGTTGATGTGAATTAAACCGGGTGGAGCTCTTAAACCAGACCGAACCGGTTAAACTGGAAATCGGCAGCCATCTCTGTCACCGCCTAGTCTGCACAGCTACATGAGCTTCATGAGCCTATCAGTCTTAGAGTCACCAGCTGACACCATGGGGGATTCATCTTGCTGCTGCTCAGGGCGAACGCCCCTCGATTACAAAATCTTCCTGTAGAGTCTAAGCACCAAAGACTTTTCTGTCAAATCTTAATCATCATCAATCATCATCATCTGTTAATCTGTACACCTGTAATCTGTAATACACAATTATCTTAACTTTATTCACCTGTCTCTCCTGATTGAACTGTTACTATAGACAACATCTTTAACTAAGTCACTCACTCACTGTGAGGACTACAGCAAACATTAGTTTTGCCCATGATAACTTCATCTACATAACACAATCATGACCTGTACTCACAATATGTAAATTCAAAAGCTACATGACTGTCAACATGTATTTTCAATGAAGAGCTACCCTGCATACAAAGTTTCTGATTTATAGTTTAAGTATCAGATGGTGCCCCTGAATATGCTTCTGCTGTTTTTGTTTCACAACTTACCTTCTGACCCTGAGCTGGTGTCTGACAACAGCTGCACCAGATCATTCCTGGGAATTTTCTTTAAAATGTCTTTGGCCACCTCCACAGACTCTTGGCTGTAGGTCTGCAGCATCAGATTAACCAGGTCTACCCTGTCAGTGTTCTCCCGTTGGAACTCTGTGATGCGTGGGAGGCGCCACTTGAATTCTTTGAACTCTTCACTTTTCAACTCTTTCAGCATATTCAGAAGCTTCTCTCCTGCCACTGTGATTGCTGCTTCCTGATAAATTCAAAGTGAATAAATAAATGGATATGATTTAACTATGTCATTTAACTATAATATTATGTATTGCTGAGAAGCTCACTGACTGCAGCATCAGTTGTGAGAGAACCATCAAATTTAAGGCATGTGAGATCACTCACCTGGTGTTTGTCCACTGAGTGTTTCTCTGAGGAGAATGAAAAAATGTTCCGTGAGTGACTGATTTAAAATCTGACCATAACTATTTTGCATCAGATTCTTGATTCATAAAGATAAACTATACAAAGAGATTTATCACATAATGACCGACGTTGCTGGCAGCAGGTTGTTTCAGCGTTGCTGATAAATTCTGAGTAACTTGACGAAAGGCCAAAATTAAACTTGCCATTTTTGCATCATCTTTCCAGTCGATGGTTTTGTACTCAGTAAAAGATCTTTTGTGAGCAAAGAACCTCCACTCTCTGACAATCATGAGTGTTTTTGTAGTTTCAACAGCTCCAACAGAGTGATACGTCTTCTCTCTATTGGACAACACCAAGTCAGTGTCAGGAGTCAAAACAAATTGATTGCTCCTCTTCATAGTCACTAGACCATTTTACACTGCTTCTTTGAGGCAGGAATTTCACACCATTATACTGCCTAGCAGTTTTGTATAAACGGTACAGTTGCAGATAGGGCTGCTCGATTAATCGAATTTTAATCTAGATAACGATTTGGGCTTTCAACAATTATGAAAACAAAACAATAGACATAAGATGATAATGCGGTTCTTGTCAGTTTACTCTCGTTGACTTGTGTTGCAAATCAAATGCACCGGGAAGCTGCGCATGCGCAATACTGCCCCCTCCTCTCCTCTACAGCGTGCAGAAAATGGCAGAGGGAGCACGAGAGAGGTTGGTCTGTGTGTGTGTGTGTGTGTGTGTGTGTGTGTGCGCATGTGTGTGCGCGTGCACGCATCGGGGCCGAACTCCACTGTGCACGATACAGAGTGCAGAGGAGAATTGTAAACGCGCGACCATGTAGAGACAGACATGATATACCATCGTGTAAATAATATAAGTCATCACGTGCGCCGCATAATCGTGATTTCGATTTTGACCAAAATAATTCTGATTTTTCCATAATCAAGCAGCCCTAGTTGCAGAGTGAGGGGATAGAGCTGTATCTCCTTTAAGGCGGCATCGGAGGTGGTAACAGTGCCGAGGCAACATCTGTATTAACAGGACACCAGGCAGGATGGGATCGTTGGCCAGACAGATGTGACAGTATGACAATGTGTTACATGTGCAATCCACCACTGAGAGATTTAAAAAGAAGGTGGTAAGAGTTAGTAGCTAACTCAAAGAAGAAGAAGAACAGCAGCTGAAAATGTCCACGTATTGGGAAAACAATCAGGTCTGTGAGCTCCTTATCTTACATATAACAGGGACGGTAAATGATTATAGTTGCCATGTTATGCTATTGTTATTGTTGAGAAAGTAATACTGACATATATTATATGTCACACTAGAGGCCAGCACTGTTGTGTTATATGTCACACCTCTGTTGGTTCCATGATGCCAGCATGCTGTCTAAAATCACACACTGGAGCGGCATGATGCCGCCGTTGTTTGGTTCTGTGTAAAATGCAAATACGGCTTAAAGAAGGGACTTCGTAGCAGCCCTATAGCGTGATCTCTGTAAAAAGGGCTAATGACACAGCAGAAAAAAAGCTGGCTATTGTTTCTTTTTTTTTTTTTTTACTTAATTTATTCTAAATTTGCTCTTCCTGCGTGTTTTTGAATCACTCCATAGATTAATGTCTGAAAAGACAACATTTCTGTCATTTCAGATGAGCATCTAAGATGAACCAAGGCAAATTCTTTTAGCTTAACACTTACAAGTAAAACTGAAAACACCAGGCCACAGTAACAAATGTTCAGGTGATAAATACTTCACAGATGGATTAAGTTGAAAGAAAATTGAAAATTAGAGGTTGGTTTAAAAACAGCTTTGCTGTAGTGTTTCATATTCAGAAAACAGAAAACAGCTCACTGTAACTTGGACCAGGCATGGAGGATTGTCCAGCTGTCTCTGTGACTGCAAAAACAGGCATAGACACAATGTTCAATTAAAAAAACTGGTTTAAGATATAAACATAATGAAAATATTAACAATGTTGACATTGCATTCTGGTAAACAAAAACAAAAAAAAAAAACATTGGTAAACACTACAGTGTATAGACATATTTACATCATTCAAATTTCAAAGTTCAGCTCTTTCAGGACATTTATGTGATTTTGAAGCAGGTCAATTATCAGATTTTTCACCGGCCCAACTTTATTTTTGGAAGCATTGCTTTATTATTCTAACAGTAGTACTGATAGAAAACGCTGAGTTGGTCCTGCATTAGCTTTTTTTGAAGATGTGTGTTTGTCTTAGAGCAGCACAGCGAACAGGCAGAAAGACAGTGTATAAGAATGACTCTTTTAAACACAAATTATTCTAAATGACTCACCTTGTACATGGCCAGTGCTTTGCCATTCACCTGAGAAAAAAGCAAAGGTAAAGAAAACATGGACATGTAACTGATTTACTGCCTTTATCTAACATCACACATCTGCTACACTAATGATATTTAATAAAATAAAAGTGGTACACAGACAGAGTGGATAAGTTCTTGTGGTATTGTTTAAAACTGACCTTTTAGAATTTCACTGGTCCAAACTGGTTGATGCCCATTTTTTGGTGTGAGCATGAGCTTAAAGTCTTTGTCTGGATTTTTAACGACCACTTCATAGAAGTTTGGATCTGTGCTGTTATATCTGAGCTTTAATGTCTGTGAAAGAAAAAAATTAATAAATAAGAAGTCAGACTTTGAGCAAAGTGCACCAGAAGAGTTTTTTTCTTTCGTCATATGAGGTTAAGTTGTGGTGTTTTTTTCACTTCCATCAAAAAGACATCAGACACAGAATAATTAATATCTGCTGTATATTGCCAAATATTGCTAAAATGTCTGGCTAAAATTGAAGACCACATGGAGCAAGGCATGGTCATGCTTGCAGATATTTTAATGTGTTTAATATTTCCTGTATCATCAGCTGATTTTAGGTTTGAAGCACATAAAAGTAGCCTGACATTGCCAGACCAAATAGCAATAGCAAATAAAACATAAGCTTGCTGTTTATTATGCTATTTTCAGTGGTCAGTGTCATAATTTATGTATTTGGCATTCAAGAACCTCAGCTGCTGTAAGGTTTTGGTGATACATCCAATTAAATTTCCAGCACAACAGTCTGACCTGAAATAAACACCTTAATGTGAATTTTGGATGTTTTCTTTCAAATAGTCTGAGAGAAGACATGTTATGGAAGCAAAAAAGCCTCAAAATTTCAAAATTGACAACTGCACAAAAAAATGTGTTCACCTGGGGTTCCTCGCCTTTAGGATAAATGTCTGCACCATCTAGATCTGTTGTTAAGATGAACCAGTCATGCATTTTCAGGGGCTTCGCTGGATTTGACTTTCGGATTCCTTTGTATCTATCAGATGTTTCCGTTTTGTCCAATACCTGTAGAAGATACAAAACATACATTTTTCTTGTTGGTGTTGTGTATTTATCTATGTATTTATAGTGCTATTCTGTATCTTATCATGACTGGTAATGTTGACAGTAAGATATGAAATAACCTTTATTAGATCCTGATCAGGAGGGATCAGGTAAACATGAAGTGTGAGGGATGTTTGAGATGATGCTGTGAGGACCTTGCTATATATTAACACCCTACAGTATATTTCAACTGGAAGGCCTAATTTCACCAGGACCATTTTCAAAGAGAAAACTGGTTAAGACAGCTTGACATGGGACGATGTGACCTCAGACACTTTTTCCACGACATCTCCACAGTCATCTATGTGTAGGACTGCAAACTTGTCTAATATTGTAGGATTGTCATCTGCACAAAACAAAAGCACAGTAAGTAAAGAGAAAAGGATTGCATCAGTTTTTGTACTCGTGCTGTCAGAAACAAATATGAACATTATATTTTTCATTATTTTCTTCATGTCAACTTACATATGCAGATCCAGTGTGGCAGGTACACTACATCTAACTTCCCAGCAATGACTGTGATGTCCATCAGGGGACCTGCAGGCATGTACTACATACTTTCAATCCTCACAAAGTGTCCACTCAAAGAGCAAAACTGGTACTTAAAGATGACCTTTTCCTTACAGACCCAGCGCAAGCCAGAGACACTGCATTCAAAGTTTCCTGCTCCAGACTGTAGGCTAAAATGTGAATGGAAAACAAAAGAGTTTGTGTCTATGCACATGAAGGAACAAAACAGAGTAAATGTAAACTTAGAGAGTATCTGCCTTGATTCTATTAATGTAATATTGCTTTAAAAATCTTTTTATTTTCCTTCTGTGAAAAATCTCAAGAGCCAAGTGGTAGTGTTTCCTGTAGTTCCAGTTTGCTGTGAAGCAGTATTTAGGATGTAATCTTTACCTGTAAGTTGGAGCCTCATCAGCATCTGTACAGTTCACTTCAGGGTCAAGTTTAGTCCAGTCACTGGAGTCCTGCTGCAGAGGACAATCATTTTCACAGATAAGTGCAGATGTGTCTTTTTGAAACAAAACATAAAGGAACAAATGAATGAATGTAAGGGATTACCGTAACACTTCCACAACCCTCAAGCTCCGAGCTTCCTGAAGACCCTTGTGAAGACACACATTCATATGTTTTAAATGATGTTATTTTAATATTTAAATCACATTGTAACTTTTTATATGTTTATTTTTAGCTGCTTTAACACTATGTGCTACACAACTCTGCTCTAATATGCGAGCAATATGTTACTAACATATTAACGAAATTGTTGTCACAAAATACAGAGATTATGTGGCAGAATAACAATGCATCCTCAAGATGAAGTTTCGTAAAATCCGATTTCTCGGGTATGTTTTTATATTTGATATTCTGTGTCAGCACATACATTGGTGAGAATAAAAGTACATTTTTTAAATGTACATTTTTTTAAACTCATAAATTTTAATGATGTTAATAAGGGTCTAGTTAATTCTGGGTTTCCTTGTTTTCTGTGTGTAGTCATGCTAGCTGCTCTGTGAGGCTATACTTTAGGTACAGCAGTGCTTTCAGATAAATTCTAACATCAGCATGCTAACACGCTCATGATTAGTAGGTAATGTTTACTGTGTTCACTGTCTAAGTTTAGCATGTTACCATGCTAACATAAGCTAATTAGCACCACAAAGTACAGCTGAGGCTGATGGAAATATCATTAGTTTTGATGTATTCATATTTAAAGTAGGGTTGTCAAAAGTATCGATACTCTGAAAAGTATCGATACTCAAACGCTGTATTCGGATACAATACTAATTTTCAAAAGTATCGATACTAACTGTGCACACCACCTCAGCACCTGTCGGGTACGCGCGACGGGTCCGACGGACACGCGCTGTGCAGGCAGCGTCTGGCAGGCACAGAGCCCTCGCTGCAACCCGGCTTGTTGTTGTCACTGTGCATACATGCACACATTTCTGTTGCTGTAATATGGCCAGCGCAGCTGCAGGAGGATCAGAGCAGCCAGTTTTGGTCAAAAATGATAAAGGAAAAAGCGCTCTTTGGAAATATTTAGTGAAGTGAACACAGCTGTAGACGGCAGGTACAGCCCCTCCCCTCACTAACAGCTGAGCAGCTGGTGTCGCCAGCATCAAACTAAAATATAACTTCTAACGTTAATGTGGGAGCTAAGCAGAAAATTTTATCAGTCATGCCCGTCTGTAACATTAAGAGACAATGTTAGTTTAACAGGACAGCACAATTATGTGTGTCTGAAAAGTTATGTTAACTGTAAAGTCACAGATTGAAGCTGAAAAAACGTTTGGTTTCTCCCGTAACCCCTGGTTCTCTGATCACATAGTGAGGTAGAAACAGGAGCATCCTGAGCCTAAACTACCAACTCTATTTGATCAGCAATGAAAATATGGTGCCAATTCACCAGAAGCACAGAAAATAAACAGGGCTGTAGATAAATACATTTGTATGGACAGATGTTGTTTCTGGTTGTTATTTATTTTGGGGGGATTTTTTGTTTTTATCATTGATATTACTGTTCTGATCTTTATTTAAAAAATGCCATGCCTCTTAATTTTTTGCTGCTGTATCGAAAATGGTATCGAGGATTGAATATTTTCCTAGGTATCGATATCGAGTTTGAAATTTTAGTATCGTGACAACCCTAATTTAAAGTACTGGACAATAATAACTCTGATGATAACTTGATGATGGTGCTTGAGGAAAAATCAGGGGATCATCAAAGACATTAGGATTCACCCACTGGGAACCATCAATGACTGTACAAAATTTCATGGCAATCTATCCAATGGTTGAGATATTTCAGTGAAGACTAAAGAGTTGGAGCGACCAACAGACACGCTGACATTGAGCCAGCAGCATGGCTAAAACACTGACTGACCTAAAGTGAGTGACTGTAGTGACTAGGCCGCATACATTACATGATTCTAGATAATAAAACATTCACAACAAACACACTAATTCAAATTGCTGCCCAACTGTCTACATATAAGTTGAATTAAAAATTAGTAACGCTGAAGTAAAATATTACAGATCACGTTCTGCATAACAAGTCTTTGATGCTGGAATCGTATGTGTTTTTCCCCACAACTTACCTTTGGATCCTAAGCTGATTTCTAGCAACCTCTCTGCCAGATCAGTCATGTTCATCTCCATTAAAACCTCCCTGGTCACCTCCACAGACTGATCGCCATAGATCTCCACCATCAGCTCCACTATTTCATCTCTGTCTGCCATCTCCATTCTCTGACTTGAGATTTTTGGGAGGACATTCATCATTCTAATGCGCTGTAGGACATGTTTGAATTGCTAGAGCTCCCCATAACTTAAATCCTTCAGTGTTTCCAAAAGCTTCTTCATTAGTGGTGTCACTGTTACTTCCTGTTGGATTTAAAGTGGACAGAGGACATTTATCTAATATCTCTAGAGTAGAGCTGAAACATTAATTCATTTGCATCAATGTGAGTATCTTAGTCATTAAGAGAATAAAGTAACAAATAGTATCCACATTAAGGCACAATGATACATTTGTTGAAATCTAATTTTCAGATAACTATAAAAACAAAATATTTCTATGTGTGCTCATTCCTGTGGCATCATCAAAGCACCATAAGATTTAATTTAATGCTATAAACTAGTTATCAGTAATTGTGCTTTAACGACTGTCTCTAACTCTCTCTGTCACTGTGCTACCAAAAACAGGAATGATCCACCTGATCACATGTTCTCAATGCTTCAACAGCAGATGTGAAGCTTCTGGTATAAAAAACATTTTCCATCTCTTTATAGTCAAGATGAGGGTCATTTTCAACCTGTAACCATTTAGTGAAAGCTGTGTTGTGTTAAATGTGTCTGATGTGACATTACTCACCTTGTGAAGCAGTTCAGACTGATGTTTCTCTGAGGAGAAAAAAAGGCTAATTACAAATTCTAAATTAGACTATAAACAACTTTTGTCAGATTTAAGTGCTTTTGAATGAAACATAATAATTAAGGAACAGTGTGTAAACTTTAGGGAGATTCAGTGGCAACTAGCGGTGAATTGAAGACTAAAGCAGTTTCACGTTACAAATCAGTGTTTCACTGATGCTGACTGGCATGTTCAAGACGGGCCGATGGTGCAGCACCTCCAAATGTTTGCACACCTTTTTTCTCCGATAACTTAAGATCCAGACGTTAAGGAGGTTTTTACCCAGAGCCGAATTATTAGCAGAGGTCTCCTCCTTTTCAAAACAAACAGACCTGGTAATTTAAACTGGTGAAAACACTGAATAAAGCAGTTTCACATTAAAAATCAGTGGGGTTTTTTTTCTGATGCTCTTGTTGCAATGGGGCTGCTAACTACGGTGGCAGACACGAAAAGAAATGTGAATGGCCTCATTTGTCTATTCTGGGCTGCTGGAGAAATGTGGCGATGAACATGATGATCTTCAGAGATGAGGACCCACTCCCTATGAAAATATAAATGGCTAGCTCAAGGTAACAAAAGCACTACAATTCTTATTTTCAGGTGATTATACACTAAAGAAAACATCATTGTTATATTCCATTTCTGTCAATATATCAGATTAGTGATTCTTTCATTTTACACACTCACTTTGTACATAATTTTTAACTAGTATTTTTAAAATATTTTATTGTATTTTCTTTATTCTGTAGAAAATACTGATTCAATGCACTTAAACACCAAATCAAATTCCTTGTGTATGAAAGCCTATTTGGCAATAAACAGGATTCTTATTCTGAAGTCAGTGGTCATGCTTTAGGTCAAAGTATTTTGCCTCGATATACTGTGACATCAGAAAGAAAAAAATTAACAGCACTTAACACCCGTTGATCTTAAATGTTTTGTGACTGTTTGAGTGGGATAGCTAAATTTTCAAACTTTAACAGGTTTGATTTCATGTTATAGTTTTGGTTGTTTTCCAAAGGCAAATCATAAATTCAAACTCCTTGGAGAAATTCAAACATTTTATCAATGGGAAACATTAACAAGATCATGCTCTGCAGGCCGTTGTTTTTTTAGTCACATAATAAGTCTGTATGGAGAAAAGGCTTTAACATTTTAATATTGCTGCTGTATCATAACTTCAGTGGTTATGGCTCTTTTAACAATTTGCCCCAACAATGTGCAAGATATTGAGCATGCAGTTGGGATCATTCACTTTGTTTATATGCAATTCAGTTACCAGGTTTTGTAAATCTACGTATAAATGCAGCAGGTTAGTAATGCCATTTCTCCCCTAGACCTGACCTTCTTTAAGACAGTGTGTTGGTCCTGACTTTTTTCTTTTTATTTGGGAGTGTGTCCGTCTCAGAGTTCACGAACAGACGGCAGACAGACAGACAGTGTGGAGCTTTGTCACACTCTGAAATCAAAAGTGCAATTCTTCTAAATATGAATCACTGAAATGTCCTACCTTGTAAAGGACCAGTGCTCCTTTGGTAGTCATCTGTAAACAAACAAAAAATGGTAAAGAAAAAAAAGTATGTGCATCTAACATCACACATCTGCTTCACTTATGATATTCAATTAAATGAAAGTGGTACACAGACAAAGTAGATAATGTCTTGTCCCATTATTTAAAACTGACCTTTTCGAATTTCACAGGTCCAAACTGGCTGATGCCCATTTTTTGGTGTCAGCATGAGCTTAAAGTCTGGTTTTTTGTCTGGATTTTTAACGAACACTTCATAGAAGTTTGGACCTGTGCTGTCATATCTGAGCTCTAATGTCTGTGAAAGAAAAAAAATAATATATAAGAAGTCAGACTTTGAGCAAAGCACACCAGAAGAGTTTTTTTCTTTCATCTGGACCTGGGGTCGGATTTCTCTGTCGCTGGTAGGGCTGTACCCAAATATTCGGATATTCGAATATTCGTTTCTATGGGTAGGTATTCATTACGAAAAATTGGTATTCGATATTCGTTTTTTTATTACCTTCTTTTTTTAATTAATTAATTAATTTATTTATTTATTTATTACATATTTTTTGGTGCTAAATGTAGTCTTTTTGTTGTTGGTAAATGTAGGTTATCAATAAAAATCAAAACTTTTAAATTGCATTGTTAAAAATGTGAAAATATAGTATAGCCTACCAACGGAGCTTGTGTGCACGGCTTGAGCGCATCCGTCTGAGGCTGTGGATCAATGCCAAGTTTTACCACTTTATCACTATTCCCTCTAACTTGTAGCTGTTTTTTCGTTATGTTTTGAATTTAATATGAATTATGGAACCGTTTTTGTCAACGTTTGTTTCCCCCGTTTTGTACAATAAATTGTTTAAAGTTTCAAAAAGTTTATTTTGGAGTGCATGACACAAGTGTGTTTTGAAAACGGCCGCGGACTGTCACCTGCTCAACGCATCAGTACCTTCGGATGCCATGACAGTAATAGATTATAGATTAATAGATTCTAATAATAATAATGTCAAAATATCATTTACAGACAAATTTAACAGACGATCACTGCTGCCCGACCCGCAGGTCCATTTGCGGGTCCCGCGGGTTACGGGTCGACCCACACATCACTACTCAGCTCAGTCTATAAAGGCTCCTACACAACAGTAAGGCTATAGACATTATATTCTATTCAGGCTGGCAGAACCAGCAGCGCATCGGCTCTACAGTGTACGGCACTGCTGATTAACCATTTTATTGCAGCACAGAGTGTCTGCCAGCAACCAATTACTTGCAGAGGCTTCCTACAACTTGTTTCAACGGTTCCGATTTAACCAGAAGACAAATTAAACAGGATGACTAGCCAATGTGAAAATCAAAAGAAAGCACAGAATAATATACTGAAGGAGACTGTTGTGCCATCACATCTTTTTGTGGTTTGAGAGCAAAAATCCGGTCGCCGCTGTGCAAAACGCAATATAATTAGGTCCGAAAAAACCCCGGAGGAGTGCTTCTCAAGGAGTCTTTGAAAGGAGCCGAGCCTGGCCTAAAACCGGAGAGAGCAGGCAGCACGGCCACAGCACGCACCCCGTTCGTTTCTGCTGCTGGTTGAAATCTGGACTCGCACAACGTGCTGAATGATTTATTTTGCTGGCACAAAACTATTTTTAGTCGCAAATGCGAGTAAAATGCTCGCACATAGTGCTCTGTGGAAAACAAATCACTGCCAACAAGTAAAAAGTAATAAATAATAACTTTCACTGCTCAAAGATACTCACGTCTGGAAAACAAACCACTACAGCAGCATATTGAGTGCCAGGTGGCCAGCGCGCGCCGTTAAGCCCTTTTCACACAGAGCGCGCAAAGCGCAGACCTCCGCCGACAAACCCATTCATTGTGTATGTGCTACTGCCGGCGCGCGCCGTTATTGGACGGCGCATGGACACTCACAGAAAAGTGCCGTGAGAATAAAAAAAAGAAAAGAAAGAAAGTCAGATTAAATATTCCTTCCGCAACAATTTTAAGACCTTTGAGTAATGAATTTAAGACCAATTTAAGACATTTCTAATGAATTTAAGACATTTTCAGGCCTTACTTTTAGATAGGCCTACATGAATTTAAGACTTTTTAAGACTTTTCAAGGATCCGCGGGTACCCTGCATCCAGATGTTGGCAGAGCTGTACTGGAAGCTTTACAGGATCTCTTAACACAGGTAGTCCACAAAGGTGTACCTACTTCCTGATGGTGACAACTCATATTCACCATAGAGACTGTGTCATATATCACCGAGGATTTCCGGCCCTTTTCTCATCACTCAGGACACATACGGCAGAGTCATACTGTGTTGTCGTTGACCAGCAATCTTGCCAGACATATTCATTTTTTGCATGAGACCAAACAGTGAGTGGAAGTCTGATAATTTTGTTATGATTTCTTGTTTAAAACATTTGATAAAGCAATTATTGTTCTGTGCTCATCACAGCTAACTTCATTGATTGAAAAACAGTTTAAAACATACTTCAGGGAAAATTTTTGCACCATCCACATCTGCTGTTAGGGTGAAACAATCACGCATTTTCAGGGGCTTCTCTGGATGTGGCTTTAGGATTTGTGTGAATCCATAAGATAATTCCCTCTTGTCCACTTCCTGTGGAAAGAAGAAAAAAATTCTTAACACAAAGTTTGTCCAAGGTTAAAGCAGCCAACATGGTTGCCTGTGCTGTATCTTACTATTATTAGTATTGGTGACAGTACGGTATGAAATAACCTGTTGTAGAGCAGGATCTTGTGGGATCAGGTAAACATGGAATGTGAGGAATGGTCTGTAGGACTTGTATATTAACACCACACAGTTAATTTTCACTGAAAAGCCAAATTTCATCAGGGCCGCTTTGGGGGAGAAAACTGTGACTGTCGGGTTGTAATCTGCACACAATACAAATATGAGGAGAAAAGGATTGCATCAGTTTCTGTACATATCCTAACAGATATTTAAAGAGTTCTGACAAATACTACTGTTGTTAAGATTATTCTGCAGTCATAGAAATAAATGTGGTGTTGTTGAACCACTCCCTGTTCCTAATGTTCTCATATTTCTCAGATTAAACAAGATTTGAAAGCAATGTCACAATGAAATCTAAAATCTATTTATTAAACATTTATGAGAAACATATGATTGTGTAATGTGGCAGTTTTTGTCTTCTTTCTCTGACCTTTGAATTTTGAGCTGATGACTGACAACTTCTTGACCAGATCGGTCCTGTTCATGTCCATGAAAACCTCCTTGGTCACCTCCAAAGACTGCTGGTTCTCCACCATCAGATTCACTAATGCTGCTGCACTGCTTGCCTGCTTCAGACTGCTCCATGAGGTAAGTGGAAGGCCCTTCTGGAAGTACGTGAACTGCAGTAATGAGTTGAATTTCTGGAGCTCCTTCTTATTCAAATCTTTTAGTGTTTCCAGAAGAATGTTCTTCACAGCTTCCATTGCTGCTGCCTGACAAATTCAAGGGATACATTGAGTAATCGTGTCACTTATTAACTGAGATTAAAGATTTTTTTTCTTTGCATTTCACCAGTATCAATGTTTTAGACGTAGCGTATATATGTGTGTTATAGTGTTATGATGTTTATTATTATTGTTATTTGTAAAGATAATGGGGTAAAAATAATATAATGATAATTTTACTTGCAAAGCACAGTTAAGACAGCAAGTGCAACTCAAGGTGCTTTAGATCATAATGATAATAGTCAGGAGCCAGTTCTTTAAGAGATTTAAAAACTAAAAGCAAAATAATAATAAGAATTCAAAAATGAACAGGAAGCAAATGAAGACCTTTTAAAGTCAGGGGAACATTTCCTCAAAGGTTTAGTCTTGGTGAGTAGAAGTGCTGCGCATTTGTGATCATCTGAAGTTCGTTTAAAGATTTCTTTGAGAGGCTCGAGAACAAGGCATTACAGCATGAAATTTTTCCTTATCTTCTTTGGATAGAAGAGATTACACAAGGAAAATATTTCTGAGATGGAAAAATGCTTTTTTGGTGATGTTTCTCACTTGGGGTTCAAAGCATAGGTCACAATCAAAGATAACACTAAAGGTTTTTAATTAATGCTTTTTGTCAAGAGCCAACTTCTGTAAATGAGTATACCAATTATTAGAACCTCAGTTTTGTCCCTGTTGAGTTGCAGCAAATTCAGGTATTCATTTGGTCAATATGACAAGTTTTTCAGTTGAGACTGTATCAACAGATGATAATGAAATATATAGCAGAGTATCATCAGCATAGGAATGGAAAACAATTTCATACTCTCAAATGATATTTCCCAGAGGCAGCATGTACACAATGAAAAGAAAGTACTCTCTGTGTATTCATTCCTTTAGCAGCATCAAAGCAAAAGATGATTCCCTTCATCACGTAAACTGATTTCTACCACCTGATCTGACATAACATTGTTTCTGTAACAGTAGCTCAAAGAAATTTTTTATTCCACTTGACATTTTTACTTTTCATAATGTCAGTTTTGGACAACATTATGACTGAAGAGCTCAAACTTAAAACTGTGAGAACCATTCAATTTAAAACACTTGCATCATCATCTATAATGTTCAGGATGAGGATGGTTTTCAACCTGCATCCAGGTGATATGTGGTGTAAAGTCAGACTCACTTCCCCCAACACTTCAGGTTGATGTTCACCTACAGGGTGTTTCTCTGAGGAGAAAAGACATTTAAAGTGACTCAGATGATGATGAAATCTAATTTAACATAGAGTGTGATTACATGGACATGAATAGGCTTATCCCAGTTATGATCATATTCGGGATATGGTGTTTACTTAAGCACAAGAGAAACCTGGTTATTCATATTCTCTGTATACATCCCTGTTCTTCAGCTAGCATATTTGTGTTTCTCATAAACAGAATATGGTGTTTACATGCTCAAACACATGGATGGGATACTCCAAAAACCTGATCATAAACAAGTTATTCATGTCCATGTGAACGCACTTATAGAGACTTTAATGAGGCTCAGTCTCTTTAAAATGGAAAGAAAGAGAAAACCAATTAATAAACACAATCACAATCTAAAGCAGTCCAACACAAAAGCCTTGCAACAAATACTAAACTTATTGAACCTGTATCAGGGCTCAAGGGGAACGTAGCCAGGATGCCATTGGCAAATATTTTGAGAAATTAACAACCAATTCTTGACCTTTGGCTGCCATCAGTGTCAACCACTTTTTCACATAAACAAAATAGGGACAGCAAACAGCAAAACACACCCTAAAGATATCAATTAGTCATGGATGTTGTCTTAGTGATATTTCAGTATTGTTGTTACAGTAAGAACTGGACATGCAGCTGCATGTGGCAATGCTGCATGTGTGTTGGTGTGTTTATTTGCGTGCTCAGAGGGAATTGTTTTAGGCACAATGGCAAAGCAAATTCAGTTGTTTGACTGTAGGGTAAAAAGTTTGACAAACCCGTCAACATCACAAACAAATATGCAAATTGATTCAACTGACAAAGAACCAAATGAACCCGAACAAACAATTTTGGCATCTTTAATGGCACATTTTCATTATTAAAGTGACATATAACTGCACAGTATCTAAGTTACTCAAGAAATAGGGTGACTAAGTGGTTGACAGGCTGGCAGTGTTGAGCGCTGTGATAACATTCAGTTTTTGTTCAGACTGTGGGAGAGATGTGTTGATTTAATTGATTATTTCACGTATGATTGATCATTGTCCCCAGTTTTTTTTATATTTCACATTGGTGATAACAGTTTGTACTCAAGCAGATTTACTTTTTTTATTATAAATCATAAAATGTATTTACTGGACATTTATGAGACATTATGTAACGTGACAGTTTTACATCATCTTTGTTTTACCTTTGAGTTCTGAGCTGCTGTCTGAAAATTTCTGCAGCAGATCAGTCCTGTTCATTTTCTTTACAGCCTCCCTGGTTAACTGCACAGACTGTTGGCTGTAAGCCTCCAACATCAGACCCACTAATTCTGTTCTGTCTTCTGTGAGTCTGAACGGTGATGACATTTCTGTTTGGTACTTTCTGAAGATAATCCACTGCAGGAACTCCTTGAATTCCTCGAGCTCCTTGTCACTCAAACCATTCAGAGTTTCCAAAAGCAGCTGTGTAGCAGCTGCCATTGTTGCTACCTGAAATAATCAATACATTTATAGGACATATATTTAATCCACTGGCACAATTACAGTTGTTTTTTTGCATCTCAGCAATGTGTGTAAACGTAGGTTTTTTTGGTAGATTATACAAGGTATTGACCCATTTGGTGATTGCTGTTGTATTAATTACAGTTTGTTCAGTTTTTTTTATTGATTAGTATGTTTTGTTGTTTTTTATTTACTAAGAAAGAAAAAGTAAAAATCAAAAGATGATTCCCTTTTCCTTCTTTCCTTTAATTCTTATGAACTGGTTAATTGTTTTTCTTTTATGTTACAGGCTGCAGCTCTTTTCAAAAACACTGAAATGAGTCACAGTGGCTCAAAAAATCATTTTCATTACTTCTTGTAAAAAGTGGTTTGAAGTACAATAAATAGATGTTTCTGGTGGATAAAGTTCTCTTTACTATTGATGAAAAAAGTTGTTGAATATGTTCATGCTGACATTTTCTCATCTCATCTTAAGTGATAAAAATATCATATCATTATTTTTGGATTAATTTATTGCAAAAGAGCTCGACCTGAACGCAGCTTCAGTTCCATGAAAAATAAATAAATAAGTCTCACTGATCCTGACTTTGGGTCATATCATTTAAAATGTTCAAGATTATGTTAATTTTTAACCTGGATCTTTTTAAAGAAAGCTGTTTTGTATGAAGTCAGACAGATGTGACATTACTCACTTTCTGGATCAGTGCAGGTCGGTGTTCATCTGAGTGTTGCTCTGAGGAGAAAAGTGGTAAAAGTCATCAGTGACTGATCAAACATCTCATCTGACAATAAACATTGTTTTCAGGCCATATTGCTTTATAAAAATGTAAATACACAAAATTACACTTAGACTAGATCAACAGGCATTTTTGCCTCCTCTTAAATCGCATTTTTTTTATAATGTAAATAGAAGAAGACACAACTTATGAACTAATGAGACACATGTTAAGGACCAGTTTTGTGATTTGAAGATGTTCTTGTTTTTGTTGTCTTACTTTTGGGTCCTGAACTGCTGTCTGACAACCTCTGCACCAGATCAGTCCTCTCCATCTTCTCTAAAACCTCCTTGGTCATCTCCACAGACTGTTGGCCGTCAGTCAGCACCATTAAAAACACTGTGACCTGCCTGTCTTTTATTTCTGGCAGCATCAGTGACATGTCTGAGAGGCCTCCGCTGAAGTCAGTCTGACTCAGGAGGACCTTTTTGAACTTCTCGAGCTCCCCGTCACTCAAACCAGCCAGTGTTTCCAAAAGCAGCTCTATGACAGACATCATCGTCTCCACCTGGTAAATTTAAGTGAAATGTTCATGAAGTAAAAGTGCAATTGGTTTGCTGGGATAATTACAGATTTTTCTGTTTGCATCTCATCAATGTCTGTGTTTTAGGTAAATAGTAATGATACAATTGATCACATGTGATTAGGGTTGGGATCTGGATCCGGTTCTTTTTTGGAACCGGGTCCAAAGTTCCGGTTCCGGAACCAGTTCCATCACATTTGGCGTAACGGTTCCTGCAAACGGTTCCTAGATTGTACAAAAAATAAAAAAATAAAAAAATAAACCGTCACGTGCATTTCCATTAGAGTGCAGCACTGGCATATTTCTGTCGAACCCGACCGAGCCCGACATTATCTAATCACTAAAGCACTGAGTTTGTGTCACACAGTTGTCATGGTTACAGGCTATTTAACATGCTGGACGTGCGCCGGGTGCTCAGTGGAGAGAGACCTCGGTGTTTGAGACGGGAGCGGACGACGGGAGTGGGCGGCGGGAGGTCTGACGCTTCCAGCGAGGGAAGAGGGAGAAATAAAACAAAATAAGATAAAATAGGAGAAACCTGTCTCCCTCTTTTATTTAATTTTCAGCGTTTAATCAAGGCAGAGGCTGGCGGGGGAGGTCCGCTTCCAGCGAGGGGAGAGATAGAAACAAACAGCCAGTGTGTCTGTGTGTGTTATGTTCAGGTGTTGTCACGTAAATAACAGTGCCCAAGCATGAATGCATATAAGTATTTTTTATTACATTGTTGTGGTTAATTTTAATAGTGTTACTGTAGAAATCAGAGAATCACTTTTTGTTGTTAGGCCTATATATTCTCCGGGAGATGATACAAGCTCTAAATCTGAAATACACACCACACACAAATGTGTATTTTCATCTAATTGTACTGCGCAACAGTTAGCATAAAGTTTTTGGATTTGTATGATTGCATTTGTGTTTATTATATACTTGTTTAAGTATAGCAAGTATAATGAATATAATGTAGGAATCAGTAAGAGGAATCGGTAAGGAATCGGACCGTTAAGAAGGAATCGGTAAGGAATCGGAATCGTTAAAATCCTAACGAGTCCCTACCCTACATGTGATGTTATTACAAACTGTAATTGTATACATTTCTTAAACAAAATCACAGTGATTCACTTCATCCTGTTTTACAATTATTTTATTTCTGATTGAAGATTCCTTGTCTCTGATTGTTGCTGCCGCGCCACGGTGTGATTCTAGTAAATATCATTAGAGGGAGGGATTTTTTTCAGACTGTCTCATGTACTTCTTTCAGAATATAGTGACAGTTTCAGCAAATGTGACATAATATTATTCCTACAAAAGTTACCACTTTGACAGCTTCAAATGTTTTGTCTGAGCAACAGCCCAAAATCCAAAGATATTCAGTTTACAATGATACAAAACAGAGAAAAACAGAAAATCCTCAAAACAACATAAAGATGTTTTTGATAGAAAATCTGACTTTATGTTAAATCAGTTATCAAAATGATCATGATTATTTTCTGTCAATCAGCTGATCAATTAATTGTTTGAGCTTTAGTTTAAAGTTAGACAGAAGTGTCATTACTCACCCTCTGGATCGGTACAGGACAATGTTCATCCACACAGTGTTTCTCTGAGGGCAAAGGAAATATGAATGAATGATTGAATTAACATAAGGTTTTATAATCAGACACTGCCAGACTGTTATAATTCTAATATCAAGGATTTACATTAGAATTGGTAAAATGAGCAAGAAATCCACTTAATAGTAACATCATAAAAATCAATTATGGCTTCACCTGACGTCTTCCCTATTAAACTCTGTGATAAACGTTCATCTGACATGTAAATTAAAATAACTACAGCGCTTAGAGGAAACTTTGTTTTTAGTTCATGAATAATATTTGTTATTAAGTTATAGGACACATACCTCCTTCCATGGTACTCACACCAAAAGCTTCAGCTGATGATCCTGCAGCTGCAACACATTTAATGACAGTTGTAATTTCTGTAATAAATACACCGAGTGTCACCTTTATGTGTTCTTGTCCTGAGTGTCATACTGAAAATAAAAGCCTGTAATATTTCAGTTTCAAGTGTGTGGACTGCAGAAGTGGGAGTAAGTCACACATGTTTAAGTAATAAGAAAGTCTCAAGTCATATCCTTCAAGTCTCAGTCCCAAGCCACTGTGGTGAAAATCAAGCAAGTCATTTCAAGACCTTGCTATAAGTCAAACAAGTCACAAGTCAAGTCATACTCACAAAGTCATGAAGATAAGATGACATAAGCTGCACCCAGTGGTGAGATGTAACTAAACACATTTATTCAGGTACTGTAAGTACAGTCTTTTCTTCTCATGCTACCATCTACCTCTACTACACTACATTTATCTGACAGCTTTAGTTAGTAGTTACTTTACAAATTAAGAGTTTGTACTCGAAACATATGACAATGTACAAGCACAGCTGGAACTGTGAGTCACTTAATGAATTGACAGAAAATACATTTGCCACTATTTTGATAATCATCTAAGTCATTTTTATTGCGAAGACATTTCAAGGCTCCAGCTTCCCAAATATGAGGGTTTTCTTTTTTTGCTGCTTTTTATTAATTCATATTTTTTATGTTGAGGTTTGAACTGTTGGTTGGACAAAACAAACATGAATGTGTCACTTTGGGCTCTGGGTAAGTGTGACACTATCTCTCACTATTTCCAGAATTTTTACAAACCAAATAATCAGTCAATTAATGAAGAAAATAATCAGCAGATTAACCCATATTGAAAATAATTATTAGTGAGCTCCACCTCAACCAGCTACAACAGTAAAATCAGTAGAGGACTACAACAGTCACAGGGGACATTTTTACAGTACTTTTATTTGTAATACTTAAAGTACATTTTCCTGATTATATTTACATACTTTTACGTAAGTAATATTTTAAATGCAGGACTTTCACTTGTAACAGAGTATTTTACAGGGTGGTATTAGATACTTTTACGACAATAAAGGATTTAAATACTTCCTCTCCTGCTCCAAGCCCTCTGGTCAGGGTGAAAGACTCCACAGATATAACAAACCTGCTTCTGTGATCGGCATGTGAGATAATAACACACCATTAAAATCCCCAAACGTGAGCCGAGGAGGAACAAGAGGCAAAAAACAAGTCACTAGGGAAACTATCTCATGGTGTATCAGCAAGTTCACAGATAGTGAACTTATGAACTTATGTTGGGACAGCAGGTAGGAACAGTCGTTACACTCTGTGGCAGTGGCAGTGTATGTATGTGTATATAT